TAGAAATGGTTGTGCGTGAAAATCCCAGTAACTGAGCAGATTGTGAAATACTCAGACCGGCCCGTCTGGCACCAATCACCATGCCACGCTTAAAATAGCTTAAATCACCTTTCTTTCCCACTCTGACATTCAGTTTGGAGTTCAGGAGATTGTCTTGACCAGGACCACACCCCTAAATGCATTGAAGCAACTGCCATGTGATTGGTTGATAATTGCATTAATGAGAATAATAGCCTCTGGCTAAATCCGGTACAATACATGAAATGGTAATTTTATGTTAAAAATTGTGCATGGTCCCTGCATAAATAAAGAAAGAAAGAAAGAAAGAAAGAAAGAAAGAAACTGACCAGCTGTTCCTAATAATCCTTTAGGTGAGTGAATACAGGGCTTGACATTCACATTTTTGGTCACCAGCCACTCAGGCTAACAGTTTTCCAAAGTTACTAGCCACTCAGTATTTTCACTAGCCACAATTTTTACATCGATGCCATGAGAAAAAAACTGCCATGCATTTATATTTCTTTTATATTAACTCATAATTTGGCAGCAGGTATATTAGGCTGTTGTCACTTTAAGACTCGACTCACAGATCCATTATACTGTTACATGCATTTTCATTCTCAACTGTTTACACTTACTTAAAACACAACTGACTGTGTTTACTCGCCAATACTGCCATTTTGTCATTATTTTGGGTTTATTTGACTGTTTAAGTGCAATAAGCAGCCAAAAATAACTCAATTTTGTACTGAGAGGGCTGCTTTATGTGCTTTGAGTGTTAGCACAAAATCTGCATGAATGAGTAAAATTAAGCGCAATACACGCAATCCCAAGTAGAAAATCAAGCCCTGTAACACCAACAATATTCATGCAGAGCAACTGAAATGAGTGAGTGAGGGGAGAAGTGTTTGTGTGTAACTCGCAGTCCGAGAGATGAGAGAGAGAGAACGTGCAGCTGGTGTCATATCTATTCTGCAGAAAATGACAATTGGAAGCATTTCAGATATTTCAGTATCGATATGTGTTGACAAATTGCTACTTTTGACACTACATTGTCCTTAGTTCACTATTTCAGATGCTTTTTTAAAAGACTACAATTGAAAAATGTATATATTATATATAAAATTCAACCCACCAAAGTGGCTAGGAGCAGTGACTGCGTTACACGGCACTGGTGAAATCAACCAGCGTTTGTCAGGTTGGTGGGTATACATATATATACACACATAATATAAAAATAAGCTTTCTATTTCCATAGCTGGCAAAATTTCAAGTTATAGGCCTATCTTTTCAAGTGACAGTTTCTAAAAGTAGTGCATTCATACACTTACCAAATTACTCCAACCTCTAGGTCAGGGGTCTAAACTGGATTAGTGGAAGACTACCATTCACCTCCATGTTAATTTCAAACACAGGCTCTCTCTAAAAGAGCTCCAGCGCTGTTTAGCTCCAGTCATTTCAAGTTGACGGTAAAATTGCCTTGACTAATCTAAACCCAGAGCTCTGAAGTCTTAATTGATCCAAAAGTCTGCATGTTCAAAAGAACTCTACCATTAAAACACACAGTTTGACACTGTGAAACAAGCCCTTGGACCCTTTTCCCATTTGCATTTCCAAACTTTGGTTAGTTTACAAGATAAAATGTGTTTAATTATACTATATTATTGGATTTTGAAAGAATTTTGACAAAAAATTGGAACAATTACGTTTTTTATGTTTGTGAAAAAAGGCTCTTTTGCATTTATTTGAAAAAAAAAAGCAAACAACAGTAATATCGCAAAATCCTATACCATTTAAAATAACTGTTTTCAATTTGAATGCATTTTAAAATGCAAGTTTTCACAAACCTATTAATAAGCCAAAACATGTTTCTTGAGCACCAAATGTTATTACACTGCAGAATAATGGTTGCTGAAAACTCAGCTTTGGCATTGCAGGAATAAATGACATTTTGAAATATATTCAAATAGAAAACAGTTATTTTAATATTTGACATTATTACCGTTTTTAATCTAATATATGCAGCCTTGGTGAGAATAAGAGACTTATTAAAAGAATTCATAAAAAAATAAATGATGCATATAGTCAAATCCCTTCAAAATCATTTCACTTTGCAGCCATCTAAACAAAGGCCAAACGAGTTCAGCTGTGATCTACAGTAGTTAAATGGAAGAAAAAAACGCTATTTGTCATGATTACATTTCAATGACATTTTAAATGTCAAATCTGACATCTACAGTACAATATACTTTCATTATTTAGGCCATTTTAGAGTAAATAAAAACACAGACAATACCTATATCTACTGTCTTAAAATCAGTAACAGATTTTACCAAATTTAAATCCATTCCCTTTGTATAACACACATTTTCTCCCTCAAAACATGAAAAAAATATGCCAAAGGGCACCGATTCAGCCTATCCCGGTTGGCCAGAAATTGAATTCCTCAATATGTCATAGTTTAAGTATTATTTTCTCAAGCAAATGGACATCCTTAATCAAATCTGAGACCCTATACCAGTGTCTCTAGTCTGTACAATAACCTGAACCTGTATCTGTCGGACCGTATCTGAAAGATTTGTCATTTAAGATCAGTTTTACCATCCATCTAGTCTCAAATAGACAGATTATATTCTGGCTAAGAACCGCCCGCTTAGAAAAGACACGTCGGACTGACATGTAAAGAGTGGATTTACCTAAAATAGATCATACAACAATACTAGATGAGAGCTGATCCGAAGACATGATGCGACGAACATCTTTCCATCGGGTCTGGTGATGATTTACCGCTCTGGAATTTTTACCCAGAGACAAAATCTACTTAGACATCAAAGGTCAACATACATTTACCGTTTTATTGAGGATTGATTTCCTGTAGCAGTAACGGTAGAAGAGACTATAGATGTTGTTAGGGAACCTTGAAGAGAGCACCGTGACGGCATTATCAATCTTCACTGTCCTTTGAGAAAGGCCCACTCCTCACAGTTTGGCTAAAGAAATCCAAGAGGTCACTAAACCTTTCAAAATGGGGCCCGTTCTGATAATATCAATAGCACTTATCTATTCAAAGTTTGCCCTTGTGCCTGCCATCTTTCGGCAACAAAACACTCCCTTGTGAGGAAGGACGTTTTTCCATCGGGGCTGAATAGGGTGAGCGACCTCAAAGAACAAGCCCATATTTCTGCTGATTTAAATGCACTTCTGTTGCTCTCTTTGCACTGTTGGTGAAAGAAAGAGACAGAAGTGGAAGTACGAGACAGAATTTGATCATATTACCGTGACGGCTCCACTTTCTGTGTGACAGAAGCAATTGTTTAATGTGAAATCAATAAAATCTCACAATGTCTGCTGAAACTAGAAACAAAAGATGGCCAGGTTGATGAATCAAGACAGTAATGTTTTTCTTATGCAAATGATAACTGCTGAGCGCATACCATTACAACACTGCGAAACATGTGCTTTGGCCCACGCTCCTCACGGCACTGAACGCAAACAGATGTACGAGGAGACTGGAAGAAAAACAACTTTACGCAGCAGCCAGAAAATGCATCACGTTCTCTAGCAACAAAATGCGTATTTTGTACGGCAAATAGGTGGGTAGTTTCAATACATGGTTTATTAAAAACATTTTCCTGAACTTACTATGTTGCTTTTTTCAGATTTTCTGAAGGAAATATGAGTGGTGCTTGCCTATGCAAAACTTCCTCTGAAAAATACTATGTTTTGACCTTCAAACTGTTTTACCATAGTGAATTATTTGTAAAACAATACTGTTAGTGTTTTGTATTTGCATCACATAATGTACAGGATTTCACTTAGTTTCCTGAACAGTGTGAACAGCTGAAAAGTGACATTTAAACCCAGCCAACAGACCAGCTTAACCAAGCTAGGAGAAAAGCTTAGTTTTTTTTTTAACCAGGTATATTGCTTAGTGTAATATTTTTTCTACCACTGTTTTATTAGTCTGGCACCACTGTAAAAGGACAAAGGCATCAACACGATAGGCTGACAGCCACAAGAAAAAAAAAACATCAACAACCAGCTACTCATCAAGAGAATTAACTATATATTAGACACAACATCTCTAGCAAATTGACAACTCTACACATAGACAAGCAAAACAACATCGCAGACTAGACACAACATCACAATAAACAAGTGACAACTACAACAACTCTAAAGCACTAGTCAAAACAACATGACAAGCACCTATTAGTAAACTAAAACAGGGGGTAAACCTTCAAAAATAGCCACAGCTGGCTTCAAGGATGACGAAAAGCACACCTGCCGCTATAAAACAACAAGGCCCTGCACCCGTTGCTATGACCGTTGTGATAACAAGCATGTATTTTTATGTTTAATTGCCAGTGTGCCACCATCTAGTACTGAATGCACAGGCACGCTCAGAGAATGCGAGCAAGTATCCATCAGGGAGTGCATTTTTCAACGCAACATTTGCATTCTGATAGCTCTAAAATCAGCCTCTAGTGAATCAGATTTGTTTGCTTGTTTAATCACAGGCTTTAAAAAAACCCCTGTCATTTAAGCAGGATGCCAATAAGAAAAGAGGAGAAAATACTCTTTTGCCACCCCACCCTTTAACAAAAGAAAGGGAATTAGAACAAACAACTGTAAAAATAATGCAGTCGGTGGCAGCTAATGCAAAACATATATTTTATAAGTATTTATTTAGGGTGAAGTTTAAAATAGAACAAAAAATGCCATGGCAAACCTACTACACTTTTGTAATAAAATAAAATGACATTTTAAAAAATGACACCGCAACAATTGTACATGTACTTAATATAAATCAGTTTTTCTTAGTATGTTCATAAAGTCAAGCAATCGAAAGTTCAAACACATATTTTAAAGATTAAACCCATCAAGGACACATTAAATAGCACGATGACATTATGAATACTGCAGAAAGACATGCGCATGCAGGTACAAGTCTGTTACACGCTGCAAGTAGATAATGAGAATGGAGAAATAAGAGGTACCTTCAATCTTCTGCAGGGCCGTCTGACAGGCTTCCTGGCTAGCGAACTCAAATGGGTTGTTGCATGTTCGTACGCTGTCACATTCACACTTCCCATCAATGATGTTACAGCCCGTAACCAGGTTTTCGTTGCATGGCTCAAAGCCCAAGAGCTGGTCGTCATCCCAGTTTTCATCTGAACGAAAATGAAAGAGACACATATCAATGAAAATGCCACAGCAAGAGAAATTCATTACCAGATCAAACAGAGTATTTTAAAATTCAGAATCGGTACATTTTCAGAGTATCATTAAAACCGCGGGTTCCCCAAATGCTGAAGTAATGAGGCTACTGAATGCTAGAAAAGAGCACGTGGCCAATTACATGTGCATTTGAGGTCCAAGGGGTATCGTAGAACTCAGGAATAGGAGAGAAACGTAGACTTGTTATAAAGGATTATGCGGTTTCTACCTTCCTAACCTCTCTCGACTTACACGATAAATAAATGGTGGCAGAGAGCAGCACATTTTCAAAATAAGAATGACCCCGACCCTGAAGACGCTTCTATCTGCCAGGAACATTATGAAGTCTTATTTGCAGTGCAAACACACATTGCTGATACAAGCGCTGGTATTTCAGCCCACTGCATGTTCACCTTATCAGTGCGCACGCATGTTTGTGTGCTTAGTATGGATGAATACACACTCAAGATGGGAACACACCAGGGTTGGCTGATATATTGAATGTTTTTTTTATTATTATTTTACAATTTATTTATAAAAACCATAAATATGATATTGTATTCCCTAGAAAACATACTAAAACAGCTTAAACCAGTCTGAATATGGTTAGAGCTGGTCTTATCTGGTTTCACAACTGAGTCAAGCTGTGCAGCCAGCTGGTTTCCTACAGTGAACAGCTGAAAAGTGGCAAAAACCCCACGAGAACCACCCAACAGACCAGCTTTACCAGGAAATCAGCTTAGGCCAGTTTATTTATATATTTATTTCAGCATAGTATTGCTCAGTGAAGGTGTATGAGAATTGTTTTGCTTGTTTTAACAACCTGAAACCACTAACATCCTATTAAAGGGATACTTCACCTCTGATAAATGTGCATTTAAAATGGGTCATTTATGTAGAAGAAATGTGAAATTATTTTTGAATTAGGAGCTTTCTAGAAAAGCCAGAAAATGTATTGTGGATGAAAGACAACTCCCAGAATGCACTTGCTTCGCTGCCCTAGGAGGCCACACCTACCGGTATCAGAACGCAGTAGTTAAACAAGTCTAGGCTACTCCGTGATGAATCTGCCCAAAAATGTGTTTTGAGATTCTGTTTTTACGTTCTACAGTCGCCATTCATTATGTTTACTGTTGCGAGCAGAACGAGTGAGGGCCATGGGAGAACGGCACGAGGCCGCAGGCGTGATTACCGATGAGCGACACCTGTGAGACGCACCGGCCTCGTATCTCTCACGGAGGAGCGGGAATTTCTTAGCAATGTTAAAACGCACATCAACTAATCACTTGTTTAGTGTTCATGTAAACACTACATTCAGATTTACCAATCGCAATGAATTCAGTTAGACTGAAACAAAAGGTGCACATGTAAACAATGAATTGTGACTACAGAAAGCAAAAGGGCAGAAACCCCTACTACTCAGCTTTCTCCACAGAACAAGAGCCTGCTAGCTTAGCTTCCAAACAAAGATGGCCGACACCATGTGTTCATTCTGTGAGTGCGATCACACCCTCTATGGGCAGGTTGCCTACTACTGACTGTAGTCTTTAGCCTCTGGCCAAAAAATCCTCAGATGACGCAAAATGACGAGTTTTGTGTTATTGGAGGATTTTTTTTCCAGACAAAAAAAATACATAAATCTCTCATCTCAGGGGGATATGAGGGTGGAAAGCACGGCAATTTGAAAATACTACAATTTTTCTACAAATACAAAGCCTAATGCTAAATCCTGAAGTATCCCTTTATGAAGAGTTCAGATGCAAAAGCCTCTAAATGCCATTTGAAATTTTCTTCTAAAATTACCATTTTTATCAAGCTTGTATATTTAAGTTCAGTAATTTCACTTAAATAACAATTAATAGGTAATCTTCATTGCCATTTAAGTGAAATTACTGAACTTAAATATACAAGCTTGATAAAAATGACCATTTTAGAAGAAAATTTCAAATGGCACTTAGAGGCTTTTGCAGCTGAACTCTTCGTATGTTGTTGATCCTGGAACAACATTCTAATCAGTTTTAAGGGACAAGTTTACAGTTTGTCAAGTTTAGACTTAGAACTAGGAATATAAGTGTGATGGCCGCACTAGCAGCCACACATGGAAACTTCAACTCACGGTGGTAACTTTCATTTGTTTTGAGCACATTACATAGTGTACAAAATAAATAACTGGACACATACACATACTTTAGCCTTAAAAACAGTTTTATTAGTTATTTGACTCGGTTTTCTGTTTGGGTGCACACAGTTAACTTTGTCAATTTAGCTAATTTCAGGTTCATTATCTTTAAGTTACTTTCAGTGAAGTTAAAGGGTTAGGATTCTGTCAGTATTTACTCACCCTCATGTTGTTCCAAACCTCTATTTGTTCTGCTTAACACAAAGGAAGATATTTGGAAGAATGTTTTAATCAAACAGATCTCCTACTATGGTAGTCAATGAGGATTGAGATCTGTTTGATTAAAACATTCTTCCAAATATCTTCCTTTGTGTTAAGCTGAACAAATAAACACATAGAGGTTTGGAACAACATGAGGGTGAGTAAATACTGACAGAATTTTCATTTTTGGGTGAACTAACCCTTGAGTTACCTGGGGAGTTGCTGTTGGGAGTCTCCGGCTGGGTGACAGGCAAAAGGGTTTGCAACTGACTCTCAGCTGTTTAAGTAGGGGAATGGCTAATTGGACTGCACCATGTGTGCCCATTTCATGGGGGTGGCAGAGTATTACATTTTTGAGTTTTGTTCTTTTTCTTTGCTATTTATATTCTGTTATGATTTATTTGATTGATTTGTCCTCAGTTCATATACAATAGCATTGGTTTGACATGTTTTGTAATTATTGTGGTTTGTTTAAATATTATGTGTTTGTCTACCCCCTTTTGTGTCACAATAGCCTGATCAGCCACTATATAAGTTTCCCCATGTTTAGCTAGTTTCACCTAGCTAAACATGTGGTTTAGCTAGTTTAGTTAAGTTTATGCTATTTTGATCCACACTCCATATCAGAAGGTGACTGTAATGCACACTTAAAAGTTGTTTGCCAACCGCCAATAAAAGAAAGAAGAAGAAGAAGAAGAAGAAGAAGAAGAAGTTTAGCTAGGTCTGTTTTATTGACCTCTTTTATGCGCCCAGATCTTGTTTTTGTTTTTGGTTTTTTTTTTTTTGGTGAAATGGTTATTTTTTTGGTTTTGGAAATAAAAACTTATATTTTTGAAAATATACTTTTTGAATCCTCATGCCTGCCAGCTTGGGATCACATAAGCTTTTACATCAGGGTTATTCACCTATCATTTCCCTATGCTGTTAGGGTTAAGGATAGGACTACATTTTAGAACAGAAATGTTGATCTAGCATCAATAAACTATGTTGATCCAGGAACATCAGGAGTCTTAATGGGGAAATTAGAGTTGTAAGTTAATACATTATTACTAAATGATTTTAATAGATGTCATTTGACCATTCATTTTCCATACTAGACCTTAGTAACATAAATGACAGTAGAGTACTAGAGTAGAGTTTTAATGAATCAGTCCAAAACATGGATTTATTTACATACACACATCAACCAGACCCAGTGCATATACTAAGTACCAGCACATGCATGTAGAGATGCATCTGCATGCGTGTAATTTGTGTCTTTCGGCCACCGAGGAATGCAGCCCGCTTGCCAATAAATAACGGGCCTTGTGCTCCTATGAGCAATTCGGCTGTTGAGTCAGAGAGATTTCTGTAGAAACCTGCCTGGTGCTGCAGAGAAACCTTAGCAGAAATTAGACTACTAAATGACTTTGTTTTGTATTCATAACTTCTCAACCCCTGGGTGGGTCGCTTTAAATACTCTGAGGATAAACAAGTCATGGAAAAACATTCCTTTCACCCGCCCTTGTCTGTTCACTGTAGGGTCAGTCACAGCTGCACACTTGCGGCCCATCTGCATTTGATGGGTGTGATTCCAGCTGTACGGCACAACACCCATACCGTGGGACGCGAGAACACAAGGTCCCTACCTATATAGGGGACTGAGGGTATGTGATCTAACAATCAAGGACCAGAAGCTGATGTTCCAAAGCCCCTGCACTTGTTGTTTTCACCAAAGCCACAGGGGTGAGGTCCCCAAATAGCGGCTGTCAACAGCTGATTCTTCCGCAACTGAGCATGGCTCTCCAGACCAGCTTCGGGTCGTTTAGCTGGGTGTGGAAGGTCGAGTCCCCTGCCAAACGAGGGTTGTCAGTAGCCTGGCATAGGGTTCACATGATAAACACATCGCGGTGGTCCAAACCACACAGCGGGATTCAGCTTGGCATGATCACAGACAGCATTGCCTTGAAGACCTCCTGGGAAGATCCTTCTTACGAGTTCAGAAATCATAATTACGACGTGACGTGCATTCAAGTGATTTCAGTCAGATGCAATTTCACATTTCTTTCTCTCTTTTTGACTTCCTGACAAACACGGGATGCAACAAAAAGAGATCATATGCATAATATGAGTAACTGATGATGAGTTAACTATATATTTTATCATTCTTGTGGTCCAAGCACAAAGACTGATAAGATATGCCTAACCAAGTCAGCCCATAATAATAATAATAACAATAATAATCCATAATCGAGTTATATGAGCCGTATTTACTGGCAAGCTGTATTCTATTCAATGCAAAAAAAAAATGCATACTAGAGATGCAAATCAATTAAAAATGTTAATCGAATTAATTACATGATATGATATTACTACAAAAACTGTTTGTTGTACTGCATTTCCCAATTAAGCCTATCATTAGTGTTTTCAAAAAGCAAGGTTCAAGCAGGTTCAAGATTTTGGACAAAATGCTTGTTCGATGTAATTAATCCCAGAAAGTGAACATGCTAAGTTGATAACCCTAGTACAATATAATTGGTACACATTCCCAATTACAACTTCTATCATGACCAATTTGCTTGTATCATGATGAGT